GAATGGGCTCGCCAGGGTCTCAGCAGCTGAGAAGCATCGGGACTAGAGCCCACATCCTAGTGGCCAGGGTCTCCTCTGGCCTGGGGCGGCCCCGAGACGCACAGAAGGCGCCCCCAGCCGGGCGCGGTGGATCAGGCCTGTTATCCCAGCACTTTGGGAGGCGGAGCCGGGAGAATGGTTTTAACTCTGGAGTTCTAGACCAGCCTGCGCAACATCGGGAGACCCCGGTCTCTACAAAAAGTACAAAAATTGGCCGGGCACAGTGGCTCACGCCTGTAATCCCAGCATTCTGGGAGGCTGAGGCGGGCGGATCATGAGGTCAGGAGTTAGAGACCAATCTGGCCAATATGGTGAAACCCCATCTCTACTAAAAATACAAAAATTAGCTGGGTGTGGTGGCGCACACCTGTAGCCCCAGCTACTTGGGATCCTGAGGCAGAAGAGTCACTTGAACCCAGGAGGCAGAGGTTGCAGTGAGCCAAGATAACACCACTGCACTCCAGCCTGGGCAACAGAGTAAGACTCCATCTCACCATCTCAAAAACAATAAAATAAAATAAGCCAGGTACAGTGGCTCATGCCTGTAGTCTCAAGTACTCAGGAGGCAGAGGTGGGAGGTTGGCTTGAGCCCAGGAGATCGAGGCTACAGAGAGCCTTGATCACACCACTGCACTCCAGCCTGGGCAACAGAGCAAGACCCTGTATCAATAAATAAATAAATAAATAAATAAGTAAATAAATAAATAGAAAAGAAAAGAAAAAAAGAAAGTGTCCCACCCTGGCTGGCCCAGTTCGGACCTCCTGCAGGAGCCTGGGAGCTGAGCCCCGCCCAGGCCAGGCCTCCAAGGAAGCGCCAGGATCGGAAAGGAACCGAGATTAGGGTTTCCCCAGGAAACCAGCCTAGTCCCCGCCCATGGGACCAGATAACCCAGGGGCTCCCACTCCTCCCAGCGGGGACCAGGCCTTCCCCAACTAGCGCCCTGAAGGTGCAGAGGCCACTCCAACACTTGAGGTCCAGTCCTGGCTCTGCCCTGCACTGGCTGGGTGAGCCGGGGGTGAGGGCCTCACTAGAGACTCAGTTTCGTCATCTGTAAAATGGGCGCCTGCCTGGAGCAGATCAGAGCGCCTGGCATGACCCTTGCACTGTGGTTTCTAGGAGGAGCCGGGAGCTGAAGGCAGCACATGAGGTGCCCGCCTGGGCTGCCAGGGACAAACAGGAAGCAGATGAAAATAACTCGGCAGGAAGCAGGGCTGTCAGCGGCCGCGTGGAGGAGAAAACGGAACTGCCGGCCTGCAGGCCTCTGGGTCCCAGCACCTCCAGCCGCCTGATGCCCCCATCCTACCCCTCGCTGTGCCTCCTGAATCTCTTTCCATCCAGACCTCAGCCAACCCCCAGTTTGCTTCATTCCAAGACACAGATCTGCCCCCATCTGTCCTGTGCTCTAACACCTTCTATAGCTCCCCATTGCCCTTCTGCCTGGCCTTGTCATGCCTTCATCCTACACCAGCGGCACCCCACACCTTGGCCTCCAAATGCATTCTCTGTTTCCATGTTTGTGAGCCCGTGCATGGGACATTTCCTCTGCCTTTCCCTCCTAATTGCCATCAGATCCTTTAAAATAAATAAATAAATTGGGCACCCTCCTGAGCCAGTGTACACTCAGAGACTCCCCCCACCAAACTCCTACACATCCCTCAAAGCCTTAGCTGTCATGGCCTCTTCCACACAGCCCTCCCTGCCATTCCCTTCTGAGCCTCCCCAAGTCCCTCCTTCCATCCTCCCTTGGGTCTGGCTCTGTCTTCCACCCAGGCCTCCGTGTCCCCATGGCTCTCACCGTCATGCAACACACACTCCTTAAGTTTCTCAAGGCCCTCAGCGAAGCGGGCCACGTCGGCCAGCAGATGGGAGATGTCCTCGACGCCGTCTGGGCCGGCGCCCTCGGTAGGCTGCTCGCCCGGGCTGGCAGCTGTCAGCGGGCTCCGGTGGCTCCGGCCCAGTGTCCAGGAGGCGGCACCCGACAGCGGGAAACCAGCTGCACTGGCGTGGCGGCTCAGGCTGGTAGGCCGCTTGAGGGTGCCTGTGGCCTTGGCGCTGGAGGACCCAGCAGATGGCTCCAGGCTTGCTCCAGGGAACACGGCATCAACTCCATCCTTCCTGGGCAGCTCCTTGGACAGGTCCAAGGGGAGCTCGTTAAACGAATTTTCCGGCCTGGACCCTGCCTCAGTTTCCCCAGAAATTAAATGGGGCTGTGGAGGGCCAACGTCACCCTGACCCCATAGGGGTCAAAGGCCAGAGGTCACAGGGCCGAGATTTGGTAGCGTACCCCCCCCACCTGTTACCCAACATCCTCTTCCCTAGAGCTTTCACAAACAACGGTCCCTACCCAAACCACAGCCGGGGCGGGGCCTGCGGGGAGGCGCGGGAGGGGGGTCCCCACTTCCTGGTGGGGGTGGGGAGGGTCCTCAGCCCTTCAAGCCCCCCTCAGGCTCCTACAACGCAGCTACTTTAAGTGAAGACACTTCTATGTCTGTACCCCTAAAGGTCCATGGACCCCCAGAGCCTATGGACAGCCCCAGGCCTGTAGACATCCCAGATCCCCCAAGCTTTGTAGACCCCCAGCTTTGCAGACACCCCAGGTCTGGAGACACTCCCCAGCCCTTGAACCTGGTGGATCCCTTTAGAGGATCTGCTGCCCGGTCAAACATCAACCCAATGGCCAGGCCACAGCCCTCCCATCTCAACGGCTCCCAGAGCCCCCAGATTGCCTAAGCCCCCAACCTGCAGCGGCCCAAACCCAACATTGTCCCAACTCGGCACCTTCCCTTCCTGCTCCCTGGGCCCCGCGGCCAGCCCTGGATGGAGTGGAGGGAGGCGGCCACCACTCCCAGGGTCCCTACCGTGAGCTGAATGCCGGGGTCCCGGCCTCTCTGCTGTGGCCCCCGCCGTCCCGCCCGGTAGGGGCTGTAACTGGCACGAGCCCCGAGCCGCCGCCCCAGCATAGGCCCCGAGTATACAGGGCGGGTCCCTGTCCCCCTGCGGCCGGTGTCAGCTCCAGGTCTGCGCCCGGGCTCCACTCACCCCCGAGGGCTGCGGGCTGGGGCTTCCCGCGCGGTTCTTTTTCGAGATGGAAGGGGTTTTCATGAGATCTCGTTTCTTCCTGGAGAACATGATGGGGCCCAGGCTGGGAGCCCGAGGGGGCGGGCTGGTTCAGGCGGGCTGGGGGTCTCAGCGCTGCAGCTCCCGGCGCTGGCCGCTTCGGGACCACATTGTCGACGGCCACCCCCTCCCCAGCTGTCAGGTCCACGTGACAGGCCCGGCCGTCACTGGCGGGCCCTCCCCCCAACAGGAAAAGGCTTCGGGGAGGCGGCGACGCGGCCTCGCCCCCAACCCTTCCCGGCCTCAGCCTGCAGCTCTGCGGAGTGGGCGCGAAGGTGAGGTCGCAGGCCCCGCCCCCAGCCCCGGGCCGCGCCCCCCGCTTCCGCTTTCGGGAGCTCAGAGCCGCGCGGCTCGCGGGGTGGGACGCGGAGCCCCTGCCTGACGCTGTGGCCCTCGGCGGGCACAGGGCGGCCGCCTGCAGGGCGCTGACCCTCACTCCTGGACGCGACTGGGCGTGCACAGACACGTGTGCACGATGACACGCAGAGACCCGGACCTCCACACGCACTCAGACGCCACCAAGCTCCTGGAGCCTCGCCCTCAGACCCCAGACACACGCACAGGGCGAAGCTGCGCCCCTACAGCCCCCTTTTCCCTGAAGGCAAGCCCCCGCTCCACCTCCTCCCCTGCAGACCCTAGGGTGTGGCCGGGCCCCAGCAGGGCGGGGCAGAGTAGGGTCACCCCCATCACCTGCCCTGCAGCCCCGGGAGGTGGGCCAGGTCGAGGACAGGTGGGGAAACTGAGGCCCAGAACCGAAGCCCTGGGTGCAAAGACTTCCAGGAAGAGTCAGAACAGTTCACCCCGCCCTGTCCTTGTGGGCCCCGGCGTCCACCCGCTCCTAGGCTGCCTGCACAGGGGTTCCCAAGCTGTAGTGTGGACCCCACCATCGTCAGAATATGCTGAGGACACCTGGTTACCTCTCAGCAGCCCTGTGGGCCGTATCATGTTGCCCCAGATCTCAGCACTGCCCTTAGCTAAGGTCCCCAGCCCCGCCTCCCTTGCTGCATTCCAGTGGCTCCGGACCACTGGACGTGCTGGGCAGCAGGACGCAGGCACCCGTTGCTGATAACAGCCTGAGGCGGCATTGGCCAAGAGCTGGGGCATCTGCAGGCATACAGATCCCAGCCTCCTACCTTCCCCCAACCCCCATCCCCCAGTGTGAACTCTCTCCCCTCCCCAAGTCTCCCTGCTGTCCCCTTCCACAACCCCACTCCCAATCCCTAAACCCCAACCTCCTTCCCAAACCCCATTCCCACCTACCTCGGGTGGGAGGGGCAGATCTCTGGGGCACAGGACATGAAGGCCACAGCCACTTGCTCCAAGTCCGGCTCTCCAGGCCGGGGTCCAAGTGCAAACCCAGCCTAGCAGACCCTTGAGAACTCTTTGCCCCCGACTCATGGCTCTGAGGGCTGGGATCGGGGGTGAGGGTCAGCTGAATGTCGGATGGGCTTCTGGCCCGGCCAGGAGGCGTGTGCTCCGGGACAGTGGGCTCCTCTAAGCTTCCCAGGACATTCCTGAGCCCTGACCTCATCCCCACTTCATGGCCAGGCACTTACAGGTACCGCCCTTAGGCGCCAGCCTCACGTGGGCATGCAAGGACCTGGGGATGGTGACCAGGCCCTTAGGAGACCCGCACTTGCACCCCCAACTCCTGGGCTGGCCACAGAGGCATTTACAGCTGGGGTCCATCAGCTGTAGACACACTCACACCTGTGTCCTATGAATCGCCACTTGGCCTATACGGGCACACTCAGCTTGCAAGGGGCCAGCCATATCCACACACATGTGCAGGCAGCTGTGTGGACAGGTGTGCAGCCTGGCGCAAGAACACACATGCACATGGTTTCACCACCACCGCTTCTCTCCAGCCTTCTCTTTATTTTCTCCAGGGCACCAGCCCCTCTGCCAGCCTAAGTCCAGGGCGCCTGGGCACTCTACCCTGCCCTTGCCATTCCCAGGGCCTCCCCACGGCCCTGCAGGGGAGGGAGGTTCAGAGCACAGTCTCCTCAGTGCTAGTGTCATCGAGAAACTGGCTGATGCGTTTGGGGCGCTGCAGGCCTGGCGCGGGGTCCACTCCCACTCCTGCCTCCTTGTGCTCCTCTGCGTCCTCATCCTTCCCCTGGTCCTCGGAGAAGTACAAGAATACCTGGCGGTGGGCGGCCCAGAGGAGACAAGAGGGGCGGTCAGCCCACAGGCCTGGCCCCCAGCCTGCCTCCCCCAGCCCGACCCCGGCGCCGTGATCACCTCCTCCAGCATCGTCTGGCTCACAGAAAAGTCCTCCACCCCGTGCTCTGCGCCGTGCACCGCCAGCACTCCAAAGACGCGCGCCAGGGCGCAGCGCCCTCCCGGCGGCAGCTGGAAGCGCAGGCGGCATCCGTGTGCCTCACGCAGCTCCGCCCCAGGGAACTCGGCCGCCACGAAGGCCGCTGCCAGCTGGGACCTCTCGGCGGGAACCCGCAGGGTCAGTGTGTGGCCGGCCGCGAATCTGCAGTGAGTGGGGCCAGGGCTACCGGATAGGGCCTTTCCCAGGTCCCACCTCAGCTCAGCTCACCCTCCAGCGCCTACTACTCTCCGGCCCCGCCCCATCCTTGTACCTATGTTAGTGATCAAGTGGTCCTCCCACCTCAGTCCCCCCCCCACCCGCGTAGCTGAGACCACAGGCACACACCCCCATGTCCAGCTAATTAATTTTTTATAGAGATGGGGTCTCCCTAGGTTGCCCAGGCTGCTCTCGAAGCTATCACTCCACTTGACTCTTCTTTCGGACACTCCTCTTTTGCCTTTGCACCCTACCCCGCCCACACAATAAATACCCCCACCCACTTTCCTATGGCCCCGCCCACTAACCGGCCTTCCCCTAACTCCACCCATCAACCCACCCTCACCTCGCCTAGCTGCACCTTCTCCAGCGCACACCTGGTTATGCCTTCTGAATCCACCCAGAGCCCCCGGCTCCTGGTCCTGCGCGCCGAGAACACCCCAGACTGTCTCGCCCCCTCAGTCACCCCTGCAGGACAATCTAAAGCCCTGGCCATCTCTCCAGTCGAAGCCAAACTTTCCTCACCTGGCCCTACGTCTGGCCTCTCCCCTGAGCCCACCTACGTGCCCACCCTCACCCCACACCTGCCTGGAGGCCCCGCTCGCTCACCTGCCCTTGAGATGTTGCGGGCTGCCCAGGCAGCAGAACCGCCCATTCACCATGATGGCCAGGCGCGAGCAGAGCGCTTCACACTCCTCCATGCTGTCGGGACCCGGCACCACGAGCTCTGTTGAGGCCTGGGCCACCTGTGCCTGGCGCCACACTGCCTGCTTCCCCGGGCCTGGACCACCCTTCCGGTATGGACGTCTCCCCACCCTTCCCCAGAGCGTTCTCATCCTGGCGCCGCGTCCCACCTCTGTGTGTCCTTACACCCCGGGTCCTGGCGCCCTCGCCCCACCAGGGCCAGGACCCCCCCCATCCCCTGTGGCCTTGTGCTTTGGGGATCTCTCTCCAGGCCTGGATCGCCTTAACCACAGCCCAGGACATCCGCGCCCGGCGCACCTGTGGGAGGTGACCATCACTGAACGGCCCTCCCGCACCACGGCCAAAAGGCTGTTCCAGAGGAAGCGCCGTGCGCTGGGGTCCATGCCTGTGGTCGGCTCGTCCTGGGGAGCATGGAAAATCCCATAAGCAAGGCCCCGCCTCTGTCGCGGGCCCCACCCCACCCCGGCACCTCCCCCACGCACCAGAAACACCATGGCTGGGTCCCCAACCAGTGCCACGGCCGTCGCCAGCTTGCGTTTGTTCCCTCCGCTGTAGGTGCCTGCAGGCCGGTCTGCGTACCATGAGAGTCCCAGGCGCGCTAGGCCCGAGCCAGCAGTCTGTGGGGTGGGGCCAAAGTGGGCATGGGACTCATATTGATGACTAAGGGGCAGCGCCACAGTGTGGCGGGGCCAGCACCGAGTGTGGAGCAGGGGCACAGTGGGCATGGGGCAGGGCAAATGTGAGAATGGGACAGAGCCATAGTGTGGTGGGGGCAGCGTGTGGGGTGGGGCCTTGGTGTGGGTGGAGCTGGGATGGGTATGGAGCTGGGCCATGGAATGGGTGGAGCCAACATGGGTATGGGGTGGGGCCATGGTGTGATGAAGGCAGCATGGGTATGGGCGGGGCCATGGTGTGGGTGGAGCCAGCATGAGTATGGGGCGGGTCCATGGTGTGGGTGGAGCTGGGATGGGTATGGAGCTGGGCCATGGAATGGGTGGAGCTACCGTGGGTATGGGGCGGGGCCATGGTGTGGGTGGAGCCAACATGGGTATGGGATAGATCCACAGTGTGGGTGGAGCCAGCTTGAGTATGGGGTGGGGCCATGGTGTGGTGAAGGCAGCATGGGTATGGGCGGGGCCATGATATGGGTGGAGCCAGCATGAGACGGGGCAGGGCCATGGTGTGGGTGGGGCCAGCATGAGTGTGGGGCGGGGCCATGGTGTGGGTGGAGCCAGCAGGGGTATGGGGCCGGGCCAGAGAGAGCATGGGGTGGGACAGGGTGAGGGTGGGGCAGGCCAGGGCAAAGACAGGACCCCCAGGCAGATAGAAGAGACAGTGAAAGGGCTGCAAACTTAGAACGGCCAGAGTGAGAAGCTGACGGTGAACCCAGTGAGAAAGGTGCGAAGCCCTAGGGGTGAGGCAGAAGAGGAGCAAGTGGGCAGGGCCACAGCAGGAAGACTCAGGGAGAGAGGGGCAACGTGCAGCAGAAGAAAGGGTCGGTGGACCAATGAGAATGTCGGAACTTGGTGGGGCGGGACAAAGAGGTGGGCTAGCCAAATCCCTATTGGACCAGGATGGGTGACAGAGACATAAGGGAAGGAAGCACGATCTGGGGGCAGGGACAGGGGTGGAGCCAAGGCGAGAGTGTGCAGGATTGGGCCAGGCTTTAGGGGCACGGCCTGAGTCGGATGGGCCCTGGGAGGTGAGAGCAGTGGAGGCAGAGTGGGCTCACCTGGGCAACCTGGGTCTCCGGGACACCGCGCAGGCGCGCAAACAGCTCCAGGTGCTCACGGCCCGTCAGCAGCTCAAAGATGGCATCGGATTGAGGGCAGTAGCCCATGCTGAGGTGTGCAGCACTGGGTTCCTGGGCCACGCTGGGGTGGGGATGCAGGGGGCTCAGAGAGCTGGCTAGTCCCTGACAATACTGGTGGCTAACACAGGGGTCTCAGGGCCCACCCATCCAGGGCCACGATGGTAAGGGACAAGGGTGTCTCAGGGCCTGGTCCGTGTGTGGGATGTAGGGGTGCACGCGTCCCAGAGACCATGCAGGTGTGGGGCCATGAGCCCAGTCCATGCACGGGAGGTGGAGAGATGGGGAACAAGGACGTCAGGGCCAACCCTGCCCCACCCCGACCCTACCCGGTGTCCCTCACCTGTGGCCTGCCAGCACAGCCTCGCCCCCGCTGGCCAATATGTCCCCAGTCACCATGCGAAACGTGGACGTTTTCCCTGCTCCGTTCACGCCCAGCAGTCCAAAACACTGCAGGGATGCCCACAGATGGTGCTCAGTGAGGCCTCAGGCCCTGGTTCCAGCACCTCTGATTTCTTTTTTTCTGAGACCAAGTTTTGCTCTTGTTTCCCAGGCTGGAGTGCAGTGGCGCAAGCTTGGCTCACTGCAACCTCTGCCTCCCGGGTTCAAGCAGTTCTCCTGCTTCAGCCTCCCAAGTTGCTGGGGCTACAGGCACACACCACCACGCCCAGCTAATTTTTGTATTTTTTTTTTTTAGTAGAGATGGGGTTTCACCATGTTGGCTAGTATGGTCTCGATCTCTTGACCTCGTGATCCACCTGCCTCGGCCTCCTAAAGTGCTGGGATTACAGGCGTGAGCCACCGCGCCCGGCCTCTTTTTTCCTTTTCGTTTTTTTATGAGACGTAGTCTTGCTTTGTCACCCAGGCTGAAGGGCAATGGCCCGATCTCGGCTCAGCAACCTCCATCTCCTGGGTTCAAGCAATTCTCCTGTCTCAGGCTCCGGAGTAGCTGGGACTACAGTAGTGCACTGTCCGGAGCTGCGCGCCCCGGCCATAGCAAATAATAACTGACGATTAAAAAACGCCTGAGCTCTATTCATTTCCACCCCATGCCTCCTCCCTAGATTTACCTTTTTCCCTGATCTGCTGTTTCATATGCCAACACAAGATGGCGCTCTTCCTGCTTCTTCTTCACCCATTTTTCTCGCGCCCGCGAAAGTTGTTACTTTGTAGCGCAGGCGCCATCCCGCGCCCGGGAAAGTTTCCAACTGACAGCGCAGGCGCAACATGAGGTCCGACCAGAGAAACCAATACCTACCTAGCCACACCCTCCGCAATGAGATCATCTCCGCCTCTGGCCCAACCCCTTCCCCTCCAAGTGTATATAAGGCATTGCATTACCACCATTA